GCAGCGCGCGTAGCAGGCATCCTCCCCGAAAAGATTGAAAGAAGCGCCCCGTACACATGCTCTTTAGTAAGGCGGGCGTGTGACATCTTGTCCCAAAAGTTGACGGTGATGCGGCTTCATGATGGTTTGCATAGACGCATGCTCCCTCGCCTTTGGCTAGCTACATCAGGAGTCCGTGCCTGCAAGAAAAGAAAATGCGGATGAAGCTTATGTTTTCTGCAGGGATGCTCATGAGCGCTCGCAGAAACTTCTTGCGCAGGGCCGCTCTGATGCTCGCGCAGCGCATTGCAGATCACAGACTCTGGGATATAGCCTTTCAAAAATTGTTGCATCCTCTGCGGCATGGCATTGAGAGGCAGCGAGCTTCGGGAATCCATGCGCAAGCTCTCCAAGTTCCTCACCTCTCAGAAGGGGCTACTGGATGAAGGTGATTACAACACGGTCCTGAAGACGCATGCTGAGAACCTGAAATCCCAGATCGGTGGCTGCAAAACCTTGGATGCAGATGAAGCCACAGCGATCTGCGACGTCATCAACGGCATGCCCTTCACGCCCGGCGTCAAGAAGACACTCCACAAGCAAGTCTCGGACAGACTGCTTCAGGCTGATAACAAGCAGGTCAGCCCCATGGCGAAGATGCAAGACGTTCGCAGCTTCGGCAAGTACTATTCCGAGACTGATCGCCGCACCATGCGTGATCAAACAATTTCCAGCGCTACCAAGCTGGACATCCTCTCCACGCGATGCCTGGCCGTGGGGCTCTTCTATCCCAACGAACAGGCCTTTGGCAGGGTGCTTGCAAGCGCCGTTGCAGCAGGGCTCTGCACGGAGTCAGTAGATCAATTCTATGAATACCTCCAAGACTTCAAAAAAGCCCTCAAGAAAAAACGGAAGGGCATGTGCTGTGTCAGCCGCTTCCAGACACTGCCCGAAGACCCCTCCGACTTGCCGGAGGAGTTGCGAGCTGAGGCCTATGGAGAGGAAACCATCCTGCCAGTGGAGGAGCTGAAAATCAACCAGGTTCTGAGCCAGTTGGTCAATTTGAGATCCAGCTCTAAGAGGGTAACTGCGCAGCCCAGGGGTGCTGAGTCTTCTCAGCTTCAGTGGGCAGGCAGTTCGCAAGGTGCCCCCTCAATGGACATGTTGGTGTCCGCCATCGGCATGGTCATGGAACGACACCGCGACCAGAAGCAGCGTGGCCATGCAGGGAGCTCCAGCGACATCCCCTTGCAGTTCAACAAGAAGACCGTTCCTCCCCAAAAAAAACCGCTCATGATTGCAGCGAAGCCCGAATCGGAGAATGAAGATGAGGATGAGAATGAGGAGCCTGAGGCACCCGCGGAGGACGAGGCTCAGATCTTGCCAGAGGAGGAGGCGCCTGTGAAGACTAAGAAGCGGCCGTTGCTCGCTTTGCCCGACATCACGGCTGCGGAGCAAGCCGAGTGGCTCAAGAAGCCATCCACGAAGACGACACCCGAGGCACCCCATCTGGGTGCAGATCCTTTGAACTTGGGACCCATGATAGGTATGAACCTTTCACCCTTTGTATCCGAACCCTACATAGGCCCGATAATGCTCCAAGAACCCTAAACTCTTAGCCGGTATACAGGCCCTATATATACATCGACCTTGAACGCGTGAGCCCATTTAATGTGCAGATTTGAACCCGGAGGCTGTTGCAAAGGCATCGACAACCAAGCCAAAGGCGAAGGCATCATCCAAGCCGTCCGTGAAAGCATCCCCAAAGGCATCCATGAAACCGGCGGCAAAGAAAGCGCTTGCGAAGGCATCCCCGGCCGAGACCAAGAAGAAGACGCAGAAGCAGGTCATCAGAAAACCGGCTGCGGCGGGGTGGACCGTGGAAACCCGCGTGCGACCAACAGGCCAGACAGACAGATATTACCTAAGCCCAGGTGGCGACAGCTACCGACTCCGCCATGAGGCAATCGCCAATGGGTACCCAGAGTCAGAGTGAATCGGCATTATCTGACACCCAAATCGGGTGTTTGACGACAT